AACTAATGCAGCTTGGAGCACTTTCATCAGTAATATCATAATATTTCAGCCACGTAATGTGAAATTTACAACAAAGTCAAGGCTTTAAAAAAAAAAAAAAAACATGGTTTGCGTGTACCACAGAAATAATATGACAAATTGGACAGGATGGCCTCAGGCAGCACTGGAATTGCTGCAGCTGCCACTTTTAGCATTACAAACAGCTATTTCAATGTAAAATGTAATATGAAATTGAGAGTGATGTACAGGTTGATAAAGCACCAGTTGCAAGAACCTAGAAGAATTTTTTTTTTAAAGATGGGAATTATTTCTAAGAGGCTATAATCCATCTTGGTTTTGGAACCACTTGGTTTCAATGAAACTTTATTTTTCTAATGCGGTCATTCAAAGAGCTATCTACAACAGGTAAGATGTGATTGTTTATAGCCTTCCCACAGGACCCCATTTTAAATTATCAAAACTACACCTCTAAAAATTTTGTTGTTGTTGTTTATTGATAAGGCAGAATTAGAACAAAACACACACCTGGGTGAGGAAAAATACTGCTGTCTGGTATGTGCTTTCTGGCTTTCAGCAGTTATTTTTTTTAAATCAATATATGCTCATCTTACAGATCCAAATCTTTCTATATCCCTCATCCTTTGTTTTTCTTATTGACTGACAAAACGACTCAAAAGAGCAGGTTGCACTGACTTGCATGCAGGGCCACTCCATCATTCCTCACATCTTTACATATGGTGAAAGAGAGGCGGAAACCATTGGGCGCATCATATAAACACAAGGACAAAAGAAGGACGAGACTCCCTACGAAGCACTCAAGCTATGCCGCTTTGAACTGTGCTGAAATGAGATGGGTGGAGAGTGCTGGGGTCTAACATCTCACGGCACACAGAGAGGAAGTGGTGGGGTCTTTAATTGGAGGCATTGCAGTGCAGGACGACAGCAGCTTAGTTTGCACTTGGTAAACAATCTGAACAAGTTCCTTTCTTAACTGTGGGAGAGTTTAGGGCAGACCACTGGCGGTGTTCGTTTAAGTGGCAAGTGGCACCTTAGAGGTTATAGAAGACAGAGAAGAAAGAGCTGACACGAGGTTTTAGTTTAATTTGGCTGATTCAAAAGAAAAAGGATGTATTACTTTAATTTAAAACAATTATCTCCTGTGGCGCAGTTGGTAGAGCTGCTGCCTCTCAGGGAACAGGTTACCCTGGTACAAATCCTGTTCTGGGGGCCTTTCTGGGTGGAGTTTGCATGTTCTCTCCATGCATGCGTGGGTTTTCTCCAGATACTCCAGTTTCCTCCCACAGACCAAAATCATGCATGTTAGGCTGATTGGTGACTCTAAATTATCCCTAAGTGTGAGTGAGAGAGTGAATGGTTGTTTGTCTTATTTGTCTCCATGTGGCCCTGTGATGGACTTACGACCCGTCCAGGGTGTTCCCTGCCTCTCACACAGTGATTGCTGGACATGGGCACCAGTGACCCCTGCGACCCAAAAAAGAATAGCAGGTAAAGATAATGGATGGAAGGATATCTCCTGTAGATATAAGGCCTGGAGTAAGGAGCCACACAGAATATTCACTTCAGTAACACATGCACACCCCCACACAATTGTTTATCAATTCCTTGCTCACCCAAGAGAAAAAAGGGATTAGGAATTTGATTCACACCTGCCATTGTCTGTCCCACACGGCAAATTGCTGCTTCTTAATCGGACCGAAAGCATCAGACGCAATGCACAGGTATTCTCTCAGCTCCCATGAAACATAGTAAGTGATTCCCTCAAGTGCTCTGAGTTGCGAGCGCAATGGATTTGAGAGCGTGCACATATTGTGATTGGTGAATTTCAGTTGACAAGGCAGTGCCAGAGGAGGGGATGTGTATCAGCGTTGTAATGACATCATCTGCTTGGGCCGTGTCAGTCGAGGGGATTTAGAGTGGAAAAGTGTCGGCTGTTGCCATGGGCAATCACAAGGAAAGGGTTGAGCGGATAATACAGATCAGGTATCATCACAAAGATGCTGTGTTCAGTTCCTTGGCCTTACATGGTGACAAGTGAAAAACTAGAACCAGAAAACTATTGAAAAACTTTGAACAGTGTCATTGCAGCTACTGCCTGAATTTCTAACATTATTTTGTGGAAAAAAAATCGGACTAAAAATAAACATTTGGATGTATGAGTTGTATAAGAAGTGTAAAGGGAACCAAGATATAAAGGCATCTAACAAGGTTGAGTCGGGTCCTCTGGACGGATTCTTCTTTGTTGAAACGTTTGAACAGTTGAAAAGTCTTTGAACTGTTTTATAAGACTGAGTTTGTTGCAGCACCCCAGACTTAAGAGGTCTTTTGGATAAAAGATGAAACGTTTCAACGAAGAAGGATCCGTCCAGAGGACCAGACACAACCTTGTTAGATTTATCTACCTGGAGCATGCATCCGAAGAAAAAGGCGTGTTACACTGCTGCCTGTGGCGTAATGTGGTCGTCATGGCAACCACTAACCTGTTTGTTACTACCTGGCAGCCAAATTCATGAGTATAGAAGACATAACACACTGGAAATTAAGCCTCAAACTATCACTGTGCAAAAACTGCTACTGAGAATTTGTGAAATCTTGAACCATGAGCAGCAGAAGATGCTCACGTGAATTTTTGATTTGACGAGTTAAAAAGACCCCTTTCGTTTTGAAGGGAATATTTTTAGTTAAAATTTACCGGTACCTTAGACTTGCGGAAGACTGGCTATGCACTCAGTGTCTTTTGTGAGATTTTAAAAGAAAACCGTAAGCCCTATGAGACACGCTAGGTAAAAGAAAACAATCCATATAATTTTATATATAATTTATGTATGTACAAAAAATTATAGGAGCAAGACAAGCTTGTTTGCAAAGGTTTTTACTGTGGTTGTTTAAAACCTGTAATCAAAGTGCAAGTTCAGACATGTAAAGGCCAACTTTCTGCACTTTGTTTAAACTGTGAATGATAGTTCCACTCTGAAGTATGCCAAAACATGAAAACTGATTGCCACTGATTCTTTTTTGTGCATTTTTATTTTTTTGTTGTTGCTAATTTTGTCTACATTGACATACCACTTCCAAATGTCTGAGCGCAGGATCCCTGATTGAGCCACATATTTTAAGTTATACTTTGTATGTTTTGCTTCAAAGATAGTGATGAAATTCAGGGCAAAATATGTTTATAGACTAGTAAGGGTGTGTTAATACTGATGCACCAGCACCCCTTAATAGTCAGCCATGTCTTGATCATGCAGCTATTTTAAATCCGAAAATGTTTCTTACCAGAATTTTAGGGCTCATAACTTTTAATGAATTTAACTCAGTTCAAGATTTTGATGAATGCCTTTATATATTTTCATGAGCTTTCAGCTTAAAAAAATTTAAGTTTAAACCTTCCTCTTGTCAAAATGCAGATGAACAGCTACACTGATCAGTTCATTTAAGAAGATCATGTCTGATTTCCATAAAAATCAAAGTGCTAAAGTCGTCCGGCATATCAGATTAAAACTGGAACATTTTAAGGCTATGAAAACTACCTGAAACTTTAAAAAGTGCACTATTAAGTCCATGACTTCCATCTTATTTGTTTTGTTGTTAATCTTTAGGCTCATTTTGCAATGATTTGTGAAGTTTTGCAAATTTTGGCTTTAGATGTGCTTCTGTCAAGAAACAAGACTTTGTTATTTTCTTGTGGTTACGAAATGAAGAACTCCCCTCACGAGTATTGTCATTCAGTGAAGATGGTTTTTGAAAGCTAACTTTCTAAACTGAACTAAATTGGGAAAGAAAACCCTGACAAAGAGCGAAGATGGGTGCAACAAGTGCCACGGCAACATTAGTGGGTGCCACAGCGGTTGATAAACCAGCCGTGACAGGTGCACCTGCACCTGAAACCCCATCTGCAAACATTTAGGAATTCACCAAGTTTGTCTCATCTGGTGCGTTTCATGATTTTTTTTTTGGTTTTCAAATTTTAAATACTTGCAATTTATTATTTGTTTTTGGTTTTAATTATCTGGATCCAAATCCCCTTTTTGCGGATGTTTCTCCTCCAAACAGAATCAAATATGGACAAGTTTATCCATCCTTTAATCAAAACACCTTCTGCCCTGATCTTTAGTCATTTTTTTTTTCAGAATGCCCATCACATAATGTGTCAGAGCTTGGCAAGCCATGTTCTATTTAAAACGCTGACCACCTCTGTCAGAAAACCAATTACTGGTGAGAGTTTCATTTTAATTTAAATAAGATTACATTACAGTGACATGAAAAGAGGGCACTGTCAGGATGGAGAGAACGAGTGCTCCTTCTTTATCTGTTCCCACAGCACTGGGATTGTAGGACAAGACTAAACTGCATGAAGAAATATCCTGTGTGTGTGTGTGTGTGTGTGTGTGTGTGCCAGGGTGGGAAAAGAGAGCGAAAGTGTGTTTCTGTCAGAGACGAGGCATACTAGGCGAGGTATACTATGATGCATGGATGCACATGCATGTAAACATGCGAGCGATAGTCTGAACGTATTTCAAAGTAGGCAGCTTGTGAGGAGGAGAACAATTACTGCAGTGGCTCAAGCACAAATCTTTATAAAACGCTTGTGTGAAGCAGCACCAGTGGCATAAAGCCACACGATACGTCATTTGTACGTTTTATTTTCATGATCCCTCATATAATCTGCTCACCCACCCCGCATATCTTAGTTGGTTTGAGTCTGCATTTGAAGCCACTGCAGCCTGAGAGAATTCAGAGAAACCTGCTGAAGTACTTCAGACATTTGAAGCTGCCTAGCTCATTACAAAATGCAAACGGGGAAGTTATGTGTGAGAAAAGCAGTCCAAGTTACTTTACAGTGTGGTTGCATCATGTTGCTCCTGTCAAGTGAATTTCTGAGTGATATAGAGGTGCATCGTGTAATAATTGTCTTCCTTCTCTCCATCCCTTTTTATACATTCTGTCGCCTTCCTCCTGCTTTCCGACCTTGAACGGACCAGTGGACGAGCTTGGGATCGAGTTCATGGGTGAGACAACTTTTTTTTTTTTGGGGGGGGGGGAACATCGACTTTGCAGAGCACTCAATCTTTCATGTGCCTCACATGTGTCAAACACCTCATACAAAACACACAATCCAGCACAACAAGGCCGCTCACCTTGGAAAATTAATGTGGGCCAGTTGCCATGGAAACACTGTGGCGGTGAATTAGGTGTATTCTGTCTGCATGGAGAACAGTACTGTTGGAGAAGAGTGATTTAATGAGTGTACAGGCTAAGACGAACGACAGCAGTCCTTGTTTACTCATCTTTCGTGTGTTTGCGGAGTCACTTAGGAAGCAGTTCCTAAAAAAAAAACAAGAGACTGCGTGAGTTTTTTGGCACGGTGCTCCGAGACAAAATAATTCACGGAACAAAAAAGATCAATCTGTTAAGTGAAAACCTTTAAATACTCGGGGTGTAACAGTCCATGTACTGAACCAGTGTTTCTAGTTGATCACCTCTTCCATTGAGAAAGCTCACATTTTTTCATTAAACAAAGTTAAGTCAGGTCCTCTGGACGGTTCCTTTTTGAGGAAATCATCCAAAGGACTTCATCAGTCCGAGGAGCCACAACAAACTCAGTCCCATAAGTAGCACATTCACATAGTGGGCCAACCAGTTTGATTCAAACCAAACCAATCAATTTGGTTGGTCCACTATGTGAATGTGCTACTTATGGGACTGAGTTTGTTGTGGCTCCTCGGACTGATGAAGTCTTTTGAATGAAAGACAAAATGTTTCAACAAAAAGAAACCATCCAGAATACCAGACTGAACTTTGTTGGATTTTTTACATGGATTATTGAGCATGAACGTTGATATTTTTAAATTACTTTTTGCTAACTGCCATTACAGAAAAGAAGCAGAGGAAGCCACTATATAAAGCACTCTACATCATAAAGCAAAAATAGCTGGTCTGACTTGGATTGATTGTTTTAAATCAGCCATATGGAAAAGGTTCCAGTCATGGCTGCAATAAATGAAAGATGGAAGTATGGAAAGCCAAAAGTGCCATAATTTGCCTGCTTTGAATTTTCCATTTATGGTTCCTAATAAACACAGCTAAATACATCATCAGGTCCTAAAAAATTGCCACTCAGCTAACTTAGAAGCTAAAAGGAAGTTTACTGTATTTTCTGCCGTACATGTCGCACCAAAGTCACATCAGTCCAAATATGTCTAATAAAGTGGAAAAATCCATAAATGCGTCACTTCGCTGTATACATCATATTGATTATGCATCACCGCTGATGCATCACATTTGTTACACATCACTGCTGACAACGTGGAAATGTAGGCTGGTGTTGTGCCAAAAATTGATTGGCTGCCAAACGGTGCCCGTGGGAGGATTTTAACAAGAATTTAACAAGATTAACATTTAAAAACAATTATTTGTTTGTTCAACATTATAGTAAGGGTGTGTCTCAGATGAACTTTTATTTAATAAATGCACTTCAATGGTCAAACTACCTGCATTTTGCCGAGGCGGCACAGACAAATGAAGCTGATTTGACGTTTGCTCCAGGCGAGTTGGACAGAGGTGGAAAACTATGGCAAGCCGATTGTGTCATTAATGGCCACTTTTTACCTATTACATGACACAATGTCATGCCATACTACTCAAGTGCCATCTAGTGGCTGAAAATGGTAGAGCTCAATATTTCCAGTCAGAGTGAATGAAAACAGTCATATCCCAGCCAAAAATTGGTTTATAAATATGGGAAAAATCCGTAAATACGTTGCTTCGGCGTATAAGTCACAAGGCATGCAAATTATGCAAAAAAAATGCAATTTATAGGCCAAAAAATACTGTACTATTTTATTGTCTTTGTACCTTCTCATAGGAAGATGATTGTCAGTTGAGTAATACATTTAATACCTTTGATTTTACATCGATTTGGTTGAAATAATTAAAACAAAAACTTTAGCTATTTTTAATTAGACAAACTTTTCAAATTTGGAAATTATCCACATTTTAATGACACATAAGACACTTTTAAAAGTTCAAACTGGCTAAAAGGACGGCACAAAATTAATTTTTTCATTTTATAGTAAAATAATAGTTGACCAATCTTACATTTTTGTACATTACATGCTAATTCAGACTCAGGTTTGTTTTGTCTCTGCTTCTGGGAGGGTAAAAAAGTAATATAATTGTAGCATTTGGCATTTGTTCCTTTTTTCTGTCGTACCGAACCATGACCTCAAAACGAAGGGAACATAACAAACTGTGATTTATGTGTACTGTTACATCTCTATTAAATATACCCAAAAAATCCTTGGATTATTTTTTACTTTTGTTCCTTCCAGGAGGTTAACTCAGCCTTCAGAAAAAACAAATTATCTGATGTTCTTTCTTTAATAATGTCACACTGCTCTTAAACTAGAGGAAGTTGAAAGCCACACTCATCACATGTGCGCATCATCACCCCGCACACCCTATTTTACCATCTGTTCTTTACCATTTGTCCTGCTTTCTTAAAAGCCAAGCTATGAAGTTTTCCATTAACATGTCTTCACACATTGCCAACATGTCAGACACTCGCTTCAGGAAATAGACAGAGGCAGAAGACGCTCAGGAAGCGAATCCTGCCCTGCAAACAACATTCCCCAGTTCAGTGATTTTAATCTGGGGACGAAATTAGTTCAGCGTACTGCTGCAGGTGGACGGATGCATTACAGATTAATCGATTGATAGCAGGATGGATGGCAGACACAAAGGAATAACAGATTCTTGTTTGCCTCCTTTGCAATTGAATATGATTATTCATTGTGTTCCATTATAAATCTCCCTTCTGCTTCATCAATAAATCTTTGAGCAGTTGTTATATAAGTCCTATATGTGACCGCCTGAGAGTCAGAATACAGCAGAGCCCTGTTTGATGTAGGATTGAACTCTCTAAATATGATTTTCTTGCACTCTTTAGTCCAACAGCTTAAGCTTTGCATGTCTCACTAGTTCACTCTGATGTATTTCCAGCAGAACAACCCGTTTTCTCATGGATGCTTTAGTGTGGTCTTCATTATAGAATTTTATCCCAATCCGAATGTAGAGCAGTTGTTATGATATTGCTGGTCACACGGGATTGTCTTGTCTTTGTGTCAGTGCAACATGGTTTAGCCAGTTTAGCTCACTTTTTAGTTTTTCTTAATATTTTCTTGCATCTAATTTCAAGACTAGCTTGTAGGCATCCAGCATGAAAGGCCTGTAATAGCTTTACAGACTGCAGATCTTTTTTTTTCCCCTTGCAGCCATTCAGCACAGCTTTGTAGGCAGCTGTTTTTATGTTCAGATTTTGGAAAAAGCCTTTTACATCCATCAAGAGAAAGCAGAGGTTGGTCTCAGGTGGTGCTCCACATGAACGCTGATGATGCAGCAGCAGCAGGGAAAGATATTCCCCATGTTTCACATCTTCAACTGTTGAGAGGTCATTTCACTGATGGCGAAGGCCGGAAGCTTCACAGGGCTACAAGTATGTATAGGTTTCTCCTTAAATTTTGAACTATGGTACAGTATTCTATTCATGAAATGAACTGATGCAGCAAAAATGCCATGCAAGAGGAGAATCTTATCAAAAATAGTGAGAACACAACTGTGATTGGTTGTTTTAGCTATGAACAAAGGAAACTCTCCAGCAGCTTCTGTTGGAGGAAAATGATAAACCAGGGCAGGTTAAGACCAGGAAAGTTTTCTGCTGGCATCATTAGAAGTCCCAGACAATCCCTCAAAGGTCATGAACATGTTGCAGTGTTTGCATTTTTCCTGTTGTTCACAATCTGTTGAGATCAGACTTAGAATATTTTGTGGCCCCAACTCTGAATATATTAAGATGTTGCATAAAATGTAAATTATTACAAACTGCAATCATATGAAAATATCATAAACCCTTATTTTGTTTGCAGTAGAACATAGTAGGAAAATCAAATGTTTAAACTAAGGAATTGTTCAGTTAAAAAAGGGTGCTAGACTTTGTGATAGCAACACATGTCAAGACAGTTGGGAAGGGGCAACAAAAGGCAGTCAAGTAAGTGGCACAACGAAAAAAGAATAAAAAGCACGCTTTGCAACTTAGAAGAATTTGCAATAGGAAAGCAAAAGATGATACAGAACTGATTTTCTCAGAGGTAACACTAGGGAGATTCACTGGTTTGCAAACAAACGTATCTACATAGCGGAACAATTTCGGAATAACTGTTTCTTAATAGAAAATTGAAATGACTGAATATCCCATCATCTACATTTCATAATATTAACAAATAAACCAAGAATCTGGAGAAATGCTTGTTTGTAAAAGATAAGGTTAAAAGTCAATACTGGTGCCTTCATGTATTTAGGTGACTAGATTAAAAACAGGCCTGGTTCTGTTAGGGACATCACTGCATGGGCTCAGGAACACTTCTACATTTCATTGTCTGTAAACTCAGTTCACCCTGCCATAAACTTCTATCATGCAAAGAAGAAGTGTTATGTGAACATCATCCAGAAATGCTCATGTCTTCTCTGAGTCAAAGTTCATTCAAAATAGACTGGAGTAAAGTGTATCAAAATTTGGGAAGCTACATCCTCTGTACTGAAGAAGAGAGGGACAATTCAGCTTGTTGCCAGTGCTCAGTTCAAGCTTGCCTCTCTGATAGTATTGGGGTGCATTTAGTGCCTCTAGTATGGGCAGCTTACATATCTGGAAAGGTACCATCAAAGCTCAGATACCTCAAATACAGCCCCAAATCCCAAATGAGTTGAAAAGGAGGCATCATGAACGAATGCCCGTCAACTTGGCAGCGGTGCTTGAGTCCTTGACCGCGGAGATCCTGGAGCTGGTGGGAAACTGCTCATGACAATGGAAGAACTGGGATCATCCCCTGGCACCTTTCAGCTGTCTGTCCGTGGCGACGAGGAGCTCAATGGACAGCTGGGATGACGAATTCTGCCCAGCATTCAGGCAGTCCTGCTGCCCAGGAGGACTGAGAGGCCTGCTGGCTCTGACAGCAAACTGGATCCGGGTGGACGGATCATTATCTGTGGCCAGATTTTTCGGATTTGCTGCAGGAGATCCTTCCTGCCCACAGCTATCAGCATCTAACAACTCTTGAATGAAACCAGGATGATGAGCTACGATAACACTTAATTTCCCTTTGGGATTAATAAAGTATTTTTGAATTGAATTTGTATTGAATTGAATCAATTCAAGGAATATTCACATGTTAGAGCAACATGCTCCCACCGTTTTCAGAGAAGACTTTGCATATTTCAGCAAAACAATGCTAAATCACTTTACTGCCTCCGTTACAACAGCATGTCTTTGTAGTAGATAAATGGTCTGCTGGCAGTCCAGACCTCTCACCAATTGAAAATATTTAATCCAACTTGAAGAAAAAAAAACTAAATCAGCAAAGTAGACCCTGGCCTGTTAAACAACTACAATCCTACATCAGACAAGAACAGGACGATAATCCCTTCCTAAAACTCCAGCATCCATTAGTTTCTAGACATTTACAAATAGTGGATATTTCACAGCGGTAAATATGGCCTTGTTTACCATTGTTCTTTGAGATGTGTTGCTGCCATCACATTTAAAATTATCTCGTTTTTTAAAAGAAATTATCCAGTTTGTTAGCTTGAACCTTGGATATGTGTACTATGTCTCATTGTGAACAAGATATGGGTTTATGAGATTGGCAAAGCACTGTATTCTGTCTTAGTTTACATTATACAACTTACAAACTGTTTCAGAATTGGGGATGTATTTGTTGTAATTTAGGTTACAAGAGCTCAAACTGAACATCTTGCATTACGAAGAAACAAAAGCTCTTAGTAGCTGCAGGTTATTGGTTTTCCTGAGATGCGTGGACGAGCCAGTGCACTAGTTCCTGAAGCGACGCACCACAATCCAGCTGCCCAGCATCGCAGATATCTGCTGCAATCAACTGTTACTTGTCTCAACTGCTTGTGACCTTAAGCCACTGCAGCTGATGTGCAGTGGTCTGACAAGAAGCTCTGGGAGCATTCATTTGCTTCTAATTCCCTGTTGCCGTCAGTTTCTGAATGCTCAAAAGCACACACACACTTGGCGTGGCCTGTACTATGTAAGCAGTCCATTGGTGTTGCCTGCTGGGTTTGTCTGAATGAAACGATTATCACACTTCAGTTAGCACATGTCACTGAGCCCTCCCTGTGTCTGCCATGTTCCTATACCATAGGCCAACACTGATTTTTACTGACAACGGCACTGCTCCCTGCTTATCGGGTTGTGGACAGTTGTGTGCCATTGTCACCTTAGCATTTTTACGTTTAATTCAAAACGTGTCTCTTTCTTCCTGAGCTATCGCAGCCGACGCCCTTTGTGTCACAGTGGAAACTCATTGCCCTGAATTGTATTCTTCTCGTTGCAGAGAGCGGTGACACCTACCAGAGGCAGGTGCTGTCCATCTTCAGCATCGCCTCGGGGATCTGTCTTCTTGGAGTGGCATGCATGGCTCTCTACCGCCGTAACAAGTGAGTGATTCCGGTTCAGAACCACATTAGCAGAGTAAACTTTGAGCTATGCAGAAAGAGCACTTTACTATGGCGCGGAGCCCAACGAAAGTGTGAGTCAGCTCGGGGATTTTTTAGTTAGGCATCAGGTCTAAATTGTGCGGGATGCATTTGGGACAGATACTCATGTAAGATTTACTCGTAAAGGGGATTTAGCAAGCAATTGTGTCACAAATGCGTCATATAAAATTAAATATAGAGGTTCAACACCAGTATCTGCCCTGTCAGAAACATTAGAGCACTATACTGTGTCTTTAGATGTGATTCAGCATAAAATCAGACCACCAATGTCAGTTTTTGCAGGCAAGGTGGAATAAAAGTAATAAAGGCAACAATATAATGGTGCTAGAGGTTGAGTTGATCAAATGTATTTTTTTTTTCAGTACTTATAGTGCTGTGCTTATCGGTCAACATGACCAAAGACTTACTGGGAGATTTAATGTGCCGTAAATTATCTAAGCCTGCATTTTTTAAAAATTGATTCTCCTTTACTCAAATGTTTCTTGGCTTTGCAGCTCAGACAAATAGATTCTCCTGGTAGTACAGCAGTTTATTCTGTTCTCCAGTAAAAGACAAACATTGCATTTGGCACAGCTCCTCAGAGAAGATTAGGCCATCAGTAAAGTTTTATTCTTCTTGCTGTTTGATAATTACGTGACGATTACCTAAAAAAAAATCAGAGGCGGATTTCCATGGATTTATTAATTAAATGGTTCTCAATAAACAAGTTAATTCAAACTCTAACTTCAATAAATTAGGTTTTAGTGGTTCCACTATTACATAATTGCTTTGTACAGTATCTAGTTCTAAAATTTCGCTGCTCAAGGCGGCTGCATGTTTTTTTAAATTACTTTATTTTACCAAGAAGAAATCCATTGAGATCATCAATCTCTTTTATAAGGATGATCGTTGAAGTACTTCTTACTTTCTTTCTGGCATATTGCTTTTGAAAATTTTATTTCCTCTTTTTTTCTGGATGTAAATAGCTTTTTTTTAATCATTACTTCCTCTGGTATAGGATGCTTTAATCAGGTCTCTCGCGTAAATGAGTCATCGACGCTCAATGGGATTTACCTGTCTAAATAAAGGTTGAATGAATGCTGTACAGCTGGAAGGATTTTTACTGAAACCTTTTTACTTTTGGACATTTGTTATGAAGCGTAATCATGACATCAAGGTGGTTTTTACAACCAGGAACAGCTGATTAACATCTCAAAGCTCAAATGACCTCAAATACAGCCCCAAATCCCAAATGAGTTGTAAAGGAGGCGCCGTGGATGCATCTCCGTCTACCTGGCTGAGGTGCTTGAGTGACTGACTGCTGAGATTCAAAAAGCATTCAATACAAAAACAACTGGACTTTATTTGTAACAGAAACAACATATTTATTTATTTATTAACATATTTATTTCTGTTACAAATAAGCTACAATGTTTAATTTCCCTTTGAGATTAATAAAATATTTTGAATTGAATTGAATTGACTCTGCTGTAATTGGATGATTTAACTATTGTTCAGTTTTCAGTGTCGGTCATTGCACAAGTCTGTTCAAACTTAAAGCATCTTGAGCAAAAAGGGGGAAAAAATACTATAAAGTAGCCATTTTCATCTTCAATCCAGTTGAGATTAAGTTTTGTTTTCCAAATTTAGGTTGTTCAAAGAGCTTTCTATGACAAGCAATTAATTAATTGTTTCATGCCTTGCTACAGAACCCCCTACCCCCCTCAAAACCTCTCAACCCAATTTCTGTAATCAAGCTAACCAGTACATAACTACACTTAATGTAATGAAGTACTTTACATGTCTACTTATTCCACAATATTTAGACATGGATTTTTTTTTTGTGCAGCATATGTTTAACTCATAAAAAAGGAAAACACATTAGTAGACTAATAGCTGTTGTTTAAGAAAATATAATGCTAATATTGACTATATATTTTTAATCATATGCCTACCATCTACTCTGCTTTACAGTAATTAATATGTCTAGTCTTAAAAAAGCAATTACCCCAGGTATATTAATATAGTGTGTTAGACTAGTATGTCCAAAGACAAATAATAATGTAATGTAAAATTTTTTGAAGTGCAAGTTCAACTATTGGAATAACACATTAGGCTTCTCGGCTGAGTTTTTATTTTTTTGTTGTTTAGTTTGTTGACATGCTAACGGTAACTAAGGACAGCATGTAACACTTGCCAAGATGGCAGCACAAATTCTTGCCTTGTTAGCATAAAAGCTTGGTTAGCCATTCCAGTGCAACCACTATTTTAGTGATGTGAACTATCCCTTTAAATTGAACCATCAAGAAAAATGATTCTGGTTTCAGATTGCTCTGCATGTTGTTGGAGGTTCACAGGAAGTCCAGCTATCATTGTCGGTTGAAACTGATGGCAGCTGTCATCTTATCCAATCATTTGAACACGTTTGATAAAGAACCCCATTCAATAAATGACTAAAGCCCCGGTGTCTGCTGTGCTTTACAGAAAGGAAGGACCGTCCAATCTGAGCAAACTGCACTTCTCATAAAGACGAGCATTATGACAATGACAATCTGCGGTGACAAATCTTAGTGCAGAATAATAAGCATGAAACAATGTACACCTGTCAAACATGGCCACTTCACTTTATCTTTTAGCTTTCTGCGGCTCATATGGATTTTTGTTGTATTGCACTTTGAGCAAACTATTTTCATGAATCCCTCCATAAAGCAATGCTCCAAACTCTGGTTTTCTCATCGATGGTTGTAGAAAAGCTTTTGCTTTTTCTAAATATTTATCACAAAAGCATGCAATGGATGTTTAATGGTCCAGACTTAATTCTCACTTCTGCAACACATCTTCTCACTTTTTATTGTACAAGTTCCTTTTTTTCTTTGGTTTCTAGAAAGAAAATGCTTTGCTTCTTTAACCTTTGACGACGCCATTTGTTAAAATGTTGTCATTTTCAAAAGTCTTGAACTGTTGAGAGGATTTAATTACAAAGCGGCACGATAGCATGAGCTCATGATGTGTAAAAATAGCTCGTCACTTCAGGCGCATTTTTGTCTGCCATTTGTTACCCTTTTCGCTTGTCATCTTGCAGCATTAAATGATATGCAGAGTGGTTCAAGCAAGGGTAAAAAACAATCAACATTAAAGCAAACGTGCAGTTTTAAATCCTAATTTATGGAATCTGGCCTTATTTATTCTGTAGGTTTCCTAAAAGCATGTCTGTCTGAAGACTCCGGAGTCTGTTGTGATGGTTTCCATGCGCAAGTCAGGATTCAGATTGAACTAAAGAAACTGTGAAAATGCAGTGTGAATGCTACGTGCTGAATGGCTTTACTGAAATTTGCTGAAGACAATGAAATCGAGTTGGTTAAGAAAAAAGAAGCAGAGTGTTGGTTACAAGCAAAAATAAAAGCATTAATTGCTAAAAGCTAAAGTAGGAAAAGCACAGGCTAAATGTGACAACAACAACAAATTACAAGAAGCCAAAGGTAGGCTAGAAGCTTTTAGCAAGCAAAATACTAGCTAAAAGTTAAAAGTACCAAAAGGTTAGCTAAAAGCTGTAAAGTTGTAGCTAAGAATAGCAAAGGCTAGCTTAAAAAAAGGAAAATACAACAAAAATAAAAGTAGAAAAAAAGCTAGCTACAGACCAAAACGATCAAAACTTTAGCTTAAAACTAAATGTAGCCAAAAAGTAGCTAAAGCCTTAAGGTAGCAGAATTGTACCCTAAACATTAAAATAGCACAGGGAGACAAATATGAAGTAAGAATGCTAACGTAAATTTTGTTTTAGATGTAAGTGAAGACAGCTAAATTACACAATACAGCTACAAATACAGTTCACTATTTTATAGCATAAAATATGCAGAATTAATACATTTAAACATAGGTTAAAAAAATAAAGAGAAAAACAAACAATAGAAAACTGAATCATCCATCCATCCATTTTCTTTACCCGCTTATTCCATTTTGGGTCACGGGGGTCGCTGGTGCCCATGTCCAGCAATCACTGTGCGAGGGGCGGGGTACACCCTGGACGGGTCGCAAGTCCATCACAGGGACACATAGAGACAAACGAGACAAACAACCATTCACTTTCTCACTCACACCTAGGGACAATTTTAGTTACCAATCAGCCTAACATGCATGTTTTTGGACTGTGGGAGGAAACCGGAGTACCCGGAGAAAACCCACGCATGCACGGAGAGAACATGCAAACTCCACCCAGAAAGGCCCCTGGACCGGGGTTTGAACCAGGGACCTGCTCGATGAGAGGCAGCAGCTCTACCAGTTGCGCCACCGTGCTGCCCGAAAACTGAATCATCATTCATAAAAGTCAATAAGTTTAATAACTTCTGCTAAAAAAATACAACTGAGTCCCACCACTGAGTGTGATTTCATTCCAGAAGAAATGAAGTTTGTTTGCAGACTGCGCTAACACGCCATCAGTTCTTCGGTTTTGTCTCGTCTTTCCAATCACCAATCTCTTGCTCGCTTTTAATGTGCATGTGTTGTCGTCCACAGAAGACACCGGGAGAAACTCCAGGCTCATTTTTCTGATAGTCGAAGTTTGAGAGACTGCAGCGTCAACGCCTCTGGCCTCATGTCCAAATCCACTCCCAGGATTCAATACAGCCTTCACGTCCAAAAAGTACGTCTTTTAGCTAATATTGATTTTGTTTCCACTCGTTTCTTCATCATCATTATCACCATCTCATCTTTATATAAACAGTACTTACATACAATAGAGAGTTCAGAGTGCTTGTCAGGATGATGTATGATGTATGTCCTAATAATCTCTCTGCTGGCTTGAAGCCTTTTTGTTCCGACGCTTATCTGACATGGGATGAGAGGCTGTGGAGAATAACAGTTTAAAATAAATGTGCCATGCATTAAGCAGGAAAAATGTGCGTGTCACGTTCGCGGTGACAGATTTATGGGACAAACTACAGATTGGAATTTATAATTGGTGGCGGTGGAGAGAGTCCTGCATGTGCAGCATCAACAAAACAAAGCTAAAATTGTGCTTTATGGATGCACTGAAGCAAATACAGAAATAGCTATAACTCTGCCATTTTTATAGATAATGGGTTAAAATTTGGTGTGGTAGTAGCTGAGGTTCATATCCATCATACACTTGGAGTGCTAACAAATTGCACAAGATATTTTAATAAAACATTATAATTAACTAGTGAAGTCAACTGTTTTTTTTCTGTTAGCTAAATATCTCATGAACCACTCCATGGATTTAAATGAAACTTTCCGGACGTTATTATTAGATGTATATTTATAAGTGATAAACTTCTGGAGTTAATGTGTTTTAAGATTACCACCAGAGCCAACTGACATGAGGAAACACAAAAATGGTATACCTCAGCCAATTTTTTTTTTTTATATTGATCTAAATTTTGGTGAAACAGTGGGTTAGGGTTGTCCTGAGCACATACGCAGAGCCCTACTTATTGTGCAAATTTTGCTTAAACAAACATTTTTTTAAATATATTTTTTGCTTTATCTGTTTGTCTCAATCGTGTCTGTTAGCAAAATAATTCCTGAACCACTAAACAAAATTTAATGAATCTTTCTCACGTAATCCTTGGATGAATTTGTATAACTAGCTTTTTGGAGCTGCATAGCCTCCACAGCTGATGAACATTGGTCGACAGAAAAAATGGCAATAACTCAGTCATTGTTACAAATATTGATCTAAAATTTGATTTCATTTACAAGCTTTGACCAAAACAGTTAAAAATGATGTTTCGTTTCGTGATTGAAAACTAAGATGACAGGCGACGTGCATAAATTATTCCTTTAATTCATGAAAAGACACTGTTGTGAAGGGATTGGGAATAGAAGAAAAAGGTGGCTTAGCATGATTTACAAAGCATCACTTCACTGCAGAAGAGAGGACTGACCTCCAAAATCTTGTGAACAATGTAGCCCACGTCTCCACGGAAAGGTAATTACACTCTAATGCACGCAGGCAAAGATCTCATCAAAGGAGTGCAATCACTCTCCGTAATGCATTTGCACTTTCCTAAACTCACCCTCTCCCTGTATTTATTACTTTCCCAGCCACTTTTTCATAGGAAATATGCTTTTTTGTTGTTGTTGTTTGTTTTGTCTTTAAATTGGCTCGGTTTTTCCATCACGCCGTATATCTGCGCTACAGTGCACCTAGATTCTCTGTAGGAGATTTCCAGCCCAAATGAATAAATCTTTCACATCCTCTGCAATTTGCAGGACTCGCACTTAAATATTTATGAGTTAAGATAGTTTACTGAGAACAAATAAGACAGCATGACTTTATTTATTTATTTGTTTCCCCTTGCAGGTGTTTCTAGCTGTTTGATAATCAACAAGGCTTTTTTTTTTTTTTTTTGGCGTCCTGTACACAGAGGTATTTGTTGTAAGAAATCCCTCGTTCTCACTCAGCCTTGTGTCATTCCTGTGCTTTAGCCCATGCTGAGGCTCCTTAATAATTTAACAGTGTCTAGTGTCACCCACTGAAAATAACAGCCCTCAGGCTACAGCAGCCACACCCACAAAACTGCAGATGGGAAAATCGTCAAGCTTTTTCAGAGAGTTTCTTTAGAAATCTGTTAAATCTCTTAAATAAAATGCGTAGGTTGAATTAAGAATCTAATTAAAAGACTAGCATTCCTTGAATGAATGCAAAACATTCACTACTTTTCATGCCAGAGCTAAAAACAATCATCTTTTGATGAAAAATTACAATATAGCTGTTTTAATCAAACCTGGTAGATGATTATGATCATGCAATATTGCACAAGCTCACACAACCTTTTTGTGTTTAAAGTGTGTGCTGTGACCGACACTCAGCTACTACCACACCAAATTCCAGCTCAATATTTGTAGAATTCATAGTTATATCCATTTTTGTGGTGGCTAAATTTGATTAGCTGTGGTTTCCATCTTGAATTGGGTTAACTCCAAAAGTGAATCACTGATAGATATACAGCCGTTGATTATGTCATTTAAGTTTTGTGCTTCATGATATTATTTGCTAATGGACAAATACGCTTGACTCTAACAGCTGAAGACAAGATTTTATGCAAATATGTCCCACAATGTGTGATCTTTAAGGTTTGTGTAGGCAACGGCACCAAATCTGAGTTCAAGATTTGTAAAGTTCACTGAATTATTATAATTTTTGTGTTAGCTAAGATAGTTTTGTTGTGGCAGCCATCTTGAATTGGGTTAACGTCAAAATCTGCTAAAGATCGGTGTCAGTGGATTCAACATAATGATAATTCTTCCAGTTATTTAATTGTCAACAATGGTGTACCACAAGGCTCAGTCTTAGGACCCACCCACTTTTACAATCTATATAAGTAATGTAGGTCAGCTCATTCCTGATGCATCCTTAAATTTCTATGCTGATTTCTTCCATTTATTTAACTATCAACAATGGTGTACCGCAAGGCTCAGTTTTAGGACCCACCCTCCTTACAATTTACCGTACATAAGTAATGTAGGTCATATCATTCCCGATGCAGCCTTACATTTCTATGCGAATGACACAGTTGTTTATTGTCAAGCTAAATCCTATCAAATCAATAATGTCAGAATGTAGCTTGTTTTTATTTAGTTTACATCACTACTTTTATTTACTTTTCATTTTATATGCTTTTTATGGCTATTAATTGTTGTCTGCACCTTATCTGCATTCTTTGTTTAAACAGATCTCTCTTGAAAATGAGTCCTCATGACTCAACGAGACTAACCTGTATAAATAAAGAATGTATGAATGAAAAAAAAAAAATTGAACATGTTAATCCATTAATTTCTGAAAGTGTAATGAAAATAATTGATTCATGAGATAGTTTACTAATGGTACAAGCAAACAACACACACACACAGATAAAGAGGCAAAAGTATTATTGTTCTTTTGCCTTTTATCTGTGGGCAACCTATGACATATCTGAGTCCAGTTCAGTGGAATTCTGGCACACGAATGGGGCCACGTTTAGCTCAATAACAAGCTTCCAAAACCAAACTTGTGGGACTGTATTGACAGAAACGCATCAGAAAGTGGTGAATCCTCATATGAAGCAAAATGCCTCAGTAGCCGTACACAGGCAGGAAGCCACAAGAAGGGCAATACCAAGGGGGAAAAAGACAATCATAACGCAGCAACACAGAAACACAAGCTATTTTGAACAGTGTGAGGGAAGCTTAAGGAGGGAAGTGAAAGATCACCGGCTGTAAGCGTCCAGGAGGGGGCTGCGAGCTGAACACAGGAAGGAAAGATTAAGACGAGAAAGCCATTTTTCCACAGATTTGACATGGCGACCCTCAGACCTTCTTCTCACCTCCCACTCCCACAGCTTGAAACCATCCAGGGGAGCGTACACGAGCTGTGGGCGGTACAGTCTTGCAAGTCCCACGTTTTTTTGTTTTTTTTTTGTTTTTGTTCTTTCAACTTGGACGGACGAAGCGAGACAGTTCAACGAGCAGAAGCATTTTCCCTTAGAGGCTCAGAAGCATTTTGGTGTATGCTGCAGAACTGAGCCTCAGAACACAATGGGGGGTTTGTGTGTGTGTGTGTATATGTATGTGTGCATTTTAGGCACTTTGCTGGAGGATGAGATCAGTGAGCTTGAAACAAAAGGCTTGCTCTATCAAAGCAGGTGCAGAGAAAAAAAATCTAAACCAAAGTCCATTTTGTCTTCTATTTCACCTCTGTGATAGAGTGATGCGCCGCTCCCATTTTTCTATTTCTGTCCCCCAAAATATGTCACCTCATGAACCCTGATGTTTTTTAACAAAAGACGTTTTCCCTCGGGGTGTGCTGCGTTTTATTAAAACTAAAGCTTACAGAAGACTGTGGCACCTTGACATGACTTTGACATTAAAATTGAAGGGGCAGTGTTCCAAGTCTGAGGCCACCACTGCGAGGTAACTAAACCCACGGAGCTTTCCTAAAATACGCGCCTGGTCATCAGTGTTGCCTTCATACATGGATCATTCTATCCCGGCACATTTAAAATCTCTGCTTTACGTCATGGATGGGATTAAAATATGTAAAAACCTCTAAAGATGTTGCAAAATCCTTTCTAAACTTCAAGTGTTAGAGTTGGATTTAGACTTGTACCCCACATTGATGATAAACAAACACTAACCTGCAACTTAACCTAACACTGTGTTATAGCTAATATTGTTACAACTCATATTCTGAGCACAACAGATTGCACAAGTTAACATTTTGCCATTAACTATTTAGAGCCGTTCGTCTGCTGGAAAAAAATCTCAAGAACTATTAGAAAATATTTATTGTAACTTTCAGGAAATGAATATAGGGTGTCTGCAACTGAGCCAGTCCAATTCAAGAATTTTACAAACACGATTATGTCTTATCATTCAGTCAATTTAAGAATTTGTATTTGTGCAGAAATTGTGTGTGGCTGTAGCTGAGAGACATTCACAACTCATGCTCTGAGCATGAGTTGGCACAGTATTCATTATAGATAACAGAGAACAGTTGTTTTCTAGGATTGACCAAAAAACCTTGAAAAGATTCAAGGTCCTTTACTGTCATTTGCATCACATGTGGTATATGAAGTGGAACGCGATTGTGTACTCAGTGTCCCAGTTACACCCAAAAGTAGCAAAAATATAAAGTATAAG